GAACTCATTCTGAGTAAAGCCTTCGCGCTTCAACACTGGCGAGTCAATCGTCTTCAGTACGAGGTCGTTCTGAGGACGCGCAAAGTACAACAAACCCAGGCGGTCGACATGGCGCTGGTCCTTAGGCGGCACAGATACCTGGTTTCCAGATTAGAGAACCGTAGAGGGTAAGCCAAATTGTAGGGATGAAGTTTCACTCACTCGGTGAACCGTGGACTTGACGTAACCACCCGTCAAGAAGCTCAGGGCATCGCAAGTGTTGACAGTAAGACTGCCATCAAGCGGCTTAGCCCATTTCCAGTCGCCGGTCTCATGATCCCTGATTTGCAGGGCGGCAACGGGTTGACGGAAAAGCAGGGTGATCGTCCCCAGATCCGTGTGGCCGCGGGACCACAGGCCATCATCGAGTTGCTTGATCTCTTCCGGAGTGAACTTGGAATACTTCATATAGCGCAGGTGAGACTCATCGTGAGTCTCCCACTTGTGTACCCGTGTAAAGAAGTCCTCGGGCAGCTCCAAAGCCAGAGCGATGAGGTGGTTCAGGGGATCCAGCACCTTATCATGGAGGTTCTAAGTCTGGCGTTAGTCACGCTATCCTACGTACGATCAAAAGTATAGTACCTTTGCGAATCCTTCAATCTCTTCCTTGCGATCCTCCAAAAGCTTGGGCAAAGGTTGTGTGATGTGTCCAGCGCGAGCTGCATTGCATCTGTCAGCAATGCTTCCTCGATTCGAAGCAAATTGAAGAAACACTCACTGGCCATGTTCCATACTTCGGTCTTATCCTTGAGGCCACCGCTCAAAAACCGCCTACCAGCGGGACGGTACCCATTGTAGTCTCCAGAATCCAAATCCGGCTCATACTTGAGTTTCTCGTCCAACGGTAGCTCGTAAAATTTCTGGCCAAGAGCAAATTGTGCGTCGACCGCTTCTTGCGAGATGCCATAGTTGATAACATAGAAGAATCCCTTGGTCCGAATGGCCTCGATCAAGGTCTCGGCAAGTTCCTTGTTGCCCTCTGGTGTCCCATACTTTGCAAGGTCAATGGTGGGAACTTCGCGTGCCTGTCAGCTTGGAAGTCCTGCACAGTCTTGCGTGAAAGCATGGTGAGCCAAGACTTACGGTCAGCCCAATCAAGGTTCTCCTCCGTCTCTGGGACGTGGGTGTATTGGTACAATTCGGACACAGCAGACGGCATTTTGGGCGGTGAGGCGGGGTATCTTTTCTTCAGAGGCTGGTTGGTCTAGATTTTCTCCAATACATCCAGAGGCCGGGTTCCAAGCTCGCCATTTTAACTATGAACCTCGACTGCGACTACGGACGGCTTCACGCCGGATCTCGCTGCCTGTATTAGTCGAGCCAACACGCCACGGCGACGTCTCCGCAGGACTTAACCCCCACCAAATCCTCAACCAGCAAGAGACCAATAATAGCAAGTTGATTTGGTTTCATCTTTCTCCATGGTGTCACACTCGCATTTTACCCCGCGGCACTTACCAAGCAACACAATAAATCTACTTGGTCGAGGCACTTGGAGATGCGAGATCGCCGCATGTCATCATCTGATAACGGATGGCGCAATCTCTACCCCCGTCACACGTCGTCGGGCTTTTCCCGCCGCCAAACCGACGTCTGCGCCGCAGGAAACGGGTTCAAGTCAGTCTAGGTATCCCACCCGGTAGTATTTCTCCGGTCTTGGACGTTCGGCAAACCACCGAGTTCGGCGGAAGTGGTGGGTGAGGGTTTGTCCGGACTCACGATCTCGTTGCCGCATCGGAGATTATTGGTCCTTGTTTAAGGTACTTTACCCGCTATCCCGCATCTTTCCCCGGTAAGCATGGACACTCGTCATTCCTGCCACTATGGCGAATAGTGGGCGAGGCTCTTGTGCGATGCACGTAGTCGGGTCTCGGCGGGTGTTATGTTGCATGAGAGACTGGGAGTTGAGCTTATCGCAGACAAGACGCCGCGGTGGTTGGGTGTTCATAGCAGAAGCACGTCTTGGGGGTGGCAAGCATTTAGTGAAGGCTCGACATAAGACCAAGAAGGCGAAAGGGACGTAGACAGGGGGACGAGGAAACCTCCTTGCTCCGGTGGCATTATATGTAAACCACTGCCGACAGCGCAGTGCCGATTCTGACTCTTGCACGTGCATCGCAGACGGAAATCCGGCAGAACCAGCTGAAGATGGGGTCTTTTGGTCAAAAAGTGAAGGGCAACAAGATAGGGGCGGTGATATTGTCAGTATTTGACTGGTACCGTAAGTATTCGACCGTTTATCTTACACAAGGAAGTCACTCACGGTCATTAAACAGCCTCACACTATCCTGCAGAAGAGCGAAAGCTTTTGCGAAAACTCGATCTTGCGATTCTGGTCTTTGGAAGTTTGTCTTGTAAGTCAAGGTCTCTTCATTTGATCGAAGGCAAACCAAACTAATTGTTACCTTTACTACTCTTAGTCTTTTGCAGAGTAAGGGAATCTTTTACTCACAACTCCCAGAGTTATGAGCTGACCGGCAGTAGTTCCTTGGGCAGCAAAATGTCACCAACGCATATGTATCAGGCATGCGTGAGGATCTTGATTCTCACGGCAACGAGTTGAACTACTATGTCGTCGCTTGTAAGCAAATGTTCAGACACTCATGTTACATGCTCAACTGACATTTTCAGACAACACCGCATACGTCATTGGCCAAATCCCGCTTATGACTCTACAAACGAAGGCAAAGATGTAAGTCTAAAAATTAGATGCTTATTCAGGCGATTTAGCAAGTTGCTGATCAAGATTATGCAGTGCACCTTTCTTGTTACCTTCCCTGCAGATCATCTGGGCAGTGATCGCTTTTTCTCAGTCCACTATCAAGCACAGCTGGCATCTGTACATCCTTCGCGCTATTACAGGGTTCCTCGAAGCTTCATCGTTCGGTGGCACTCATCTAATTCGTAAGGATGCTTGTTGAAACCCAATGTCTCCTCGCCGAAGTACTGACCAAAAGTAGTGGGCAGTTGGTTCAAGAACGAAGAGCTCTTCAAGCGAGCTGGAGTATGGTTCATGGGTAACTCTCTAGGCTCCATGTTCTCCGGCTACTTACAGGCCGCGGCGTATCGAAACCTCAACGGCGTTTTTGGACGTGCGGGTTGGCGATGGCTCTTCATCGTCCAGGGTATTATCACCCTTCCCATATCCTTCTTAGGTTTTGCGTTTTGGCCTGGCCTTCCAACTTCACCCAAGAGGTGGTACTTCTCCGCGGAGGAGCACGCCCTCGCGGTCAAGCGGATGCCAACAGTCGAACAGGAGGGCATTACCTGGAAGACGTTCAAATATACGCTCTCCAGACCAATGTGGTGGATTTGCGTTCCTTGCTACATGTTCGTGCCCCTGAGCCTCCTTGAAAGCGATTGTTTCTCTGACACATTACAGCTTCTTGTGCCAAGCGCACTACTGGACAGGCTACATGGCTTTGTGGCTAAAGGCTGCTGGATACTCGGTTGAATTGGTGAATATTTTGCCGACTTTCATCGACCTTCTCCGGGCATTGTCATCTTGGCTAGGAACTACGTTAGCAGGTTGTTTGAGTTTGAGGGGCCTTTGGTCTTTCCAGGCGGTAAGAATCCATCTTATCGATATTGACACAACGATCAACGCTAATTACTCGTAGTCATTTGTGCTCTTCTCTTGCATAGTCCTGTCTATATGGAATGTTCCTGACATACTCAAATTCCTTGCATTCTATTTCGGAGGTTTCTCTGGAATGGCATCTCCGATCTTGGTAAGTCACCCTGTACGCCATGCTCGACTTCCTCATCTAACAAAAGCGGTTTAGTATTCATGGTTGAACTCTACGCTCAAAGAGAATTATGGTGAAAGAGGCCTCATCATCTCTTCGATGATGACCCTCGGATTCTGTGGACAGATTTGGATCCCTCTATTCACCTTCCCAACCGTCGAAGCCCCGCGCTATCCCCACGGATATCCCGCAGCTACAGTATTCGAAGTCGCAATGTGGGCTTTTCTCATGTTCGGCACATGGTACATGAAGAGATGGAAGCACAAGCATCCTGACCTGGAGATGAGGCTTGCGACCGAAGGAGCTGGCGCGGAAGGCTCCTCGGTCATTGGATCTGATTCCGACAGGCCTGACGGAGATAGCCCGGGTACCCAGTATACAGGCAAAGGGGAAGAGATTGTGGCCACTCAGCCTGTCAGCCAGAAAACCTGAAAGACTTTGGAGGTAATAAGAGCGTGCAATGGCTAGTAGATGCATATCTCAGCGGCATAGGATTTACCGGATGACTCTAGTCTTCGGTGTACTTGTTTCTGCAGACAAGGGTATCATGGACTCGCGAGAAAAAGATAAACCTGCAGGACAGAGTTACACAGAATGAATCTGTTTAACAATTGAAATTCTAGTGAATTCTTAAGAACAGATCAGTGCTCTGAAGCCAATATTTCCAGCCAGCGAAAGGCGGCATTCTGGATATAATAAAAGAAAGCTGTCACAGCCATGTTTACTATGACGAGAGGAGAAAATGAGTGAACCCGAGGATGTAGCTGACGAAAGCCCTAGATGAACAGATGAGCTGTTCAGTCTTCTTTGTATTAATGACAAGCCAAGGAATTGGCGTCTCGTTGCACAAGTGCAATTGTGCGACGCAAAAAATCCGTCCTTCAGTATGATTAAATACAGCCATGAAATTGTTTGTTGAGAGTTGGGACGGTACTTTGGTTAGGTAGCCTAACCTGATTAGGAAGGCTAAAAATTGCGGCGGTCTGACATAAGACCGAGGTGACGCGCTCTCAAATTATTAACAATGTTAATTGTGTTTCATCTCACTTTGCTTACCTACACTTAATTACTCAACAAGTGACTTCGTCACGTCGCCTGTGCCTGGAACACAAGCTCTGAGAAAGGGCCGACCAAACCAGGGAACCATCATCTTCTAGGGTAGGCAGTTGTGTTGCTCATACGAACACAACCGCACATTCTTACGCCATCAAGATGGCGCCGAACCAGAAGCCGGCAACCGGCGACACCTTCAGTCACGACGCGACGGAGACAACTCCATTGCTCATCGCCGGCGATATCGCTCCGACCGCTGATCCCGATGTCTCCAAGGCCACAACACTCAATGAGCCATCCCAAGAGAATGAGACTCTGGACGACGACGATAAGCCATTGCCGGTATGGCAAGTCTTTTGGCTATGCTACGCGCGACTTGTAGAGCCCATGGCCTTCTTCTGCATCTTTCCGTATATCAGCCAGATGGCCGAAGAGAACGGCCACCTCGCCAAAGCGGACGTCGGGTTCTACAGCGGTCTCATCGAGTCACTCTTCTCGCTGACCCAGGCCGTCGTCATGATCTTTTGGGGCAGACTCTCTGATCGGATTGGCCGCAAGCCCGTTCTTGTCTTCTCCCTCTGCGGTGTTACCATCGCCACATCCATCTTCGGCATGGCACAGACCATTTGGCAAATGATCCTCTTCCGGTGCCTGGCAGGCGTGTTTGGCGGATCCCTTGTCACGATGCGCACCATGATTGCTGAGCACGTCACCCAAAAGACGCAAGCCAGGGCCTTTAGTTGGTTCGCTCTGAGCGGTAACCTTGGCATCTTCTTCGGGCCCCTTCTCGGCGGAGCCCTCGCCGATCCGGCGCATCAGTACCCGAGCGTTTTCAAAGCTCAATTCTTTTTTGACTACCCTTACGCACTATCCAGCTTCTGCGTGGGCTTCATTGGTTTGACGGCGACCATCACTAGCATATTGTTTGTCGAGGAAACACTAGTCAAGGAGAAGCACAGCAGCAACGACGATGCAGCAGCACCGCCCAAGAAGGACAAGGGCTCCATCAAACAGATCGTCAAGTCGCCAGGCGCTTCCAATGTCCTCTTCGTGTACGGTTACCTCATGCTCCTCGCATTGTCCTACACGGCCGTCGTCCCCGTCTTTTGGTTCACCCCAGTCGAGCTTGGTGGCTACGGCTTCACCCCTCTGCAAATCTCCGTTATGATGTCCGTCAACGGTATCGCCCAAGTCTCATGGCTTCTCATCATCTTCCCGCCACTGCAGCATCGCATAGGCACGAACGGTGTGCTGCGTGCCTGCGCCTATGCGTACCCTTGGTTCTTCCTCATCTGCCCTCTCGGCAACGTCGTCCTTAAGCTCGGTGTACACAATCCGGCCTGGGTCACGTTCTTCTGGGTCTTCATGCCCATTGCTCTCACTATCGGCTGCGGCGTGAGCATGAGCTTCACTGCCATACAATTGTCGTTGAACGATATCTCGCCCAGCCCTCGTGTTCTGGGAACGCTGAATGCTTTGGCTCTTACCGGAGCGAGCGTCATCAGGGCATTTTCTCCGGCCTCATTCACCACCCTATTTGCCATAGGTGCTAACACTCAGGCCCTAGGCGGTTATGCAATCTGGGTTCTGATGGTTGCACTCGCAGCTGGGCTGATTTTCGCCGTGAGGAACCTCTATGGGCCGGAGGATTTGAAGAAGGCCAGGGAACAAGAGCAGGCTGAGTCATCTTAGATAGACTACGTTACGGTACTAACTTCATGTTGATGTATCTTTGCAGCATTCTGCTTGTCGTAGAATCATATGCGCAGAGAAGTCAAAACAGAAGCTGCTCTTTGAGGCAACACTTGAAATTTTGTACATCATGAAGAACCCTATTCGTGGCTCACTCACATGCATTTCCACAACCGAATCACTTTGAACATCTCGTCGAGGCCTTGATCTGAAAGATTTGAAGCTCATGCTTCTTTAGCATAATTATACTAGATACTATTACAGGTTATTTACAGACGATGTTCATTCATATGGGTATTCCGCCAGCATCTGTCTCGTCATATCCCCGACTTCCTTTTCCTGTTAAAATCCGGCAAGACAGACTCCGGTTCTACCGGCTCCGTCGTTATCTCAACCTCGCGATGCTGCCATATCCTGTTATCTGAGTGAGGATACCCAGAGTTGCTTTCTTTAGAGATTTTCTTCCCGTGGTAGTGCTCTCGCGCACTCACACCCGCTTCATGCTCGGGAAAGTTGTCCCTGGCTGGGCTCCGCACGGTTACGCTGACCGTGCTCTGAGGCATCAGCTCGACGTCATTTGAGCTACGAGAGCTACGGTCATCGTCGCCTCCGCCCATTGTGCGAAGGCCGATGCCGTACTTGGACTCCTCCCGAAAGTTCGGTTTGGCGTTGGCTTCGGGAAGCTTGGACCAGTCTTTCGAGCCATCCCTTGCATGAGAGGCGTTTCCGGATCGTCCGCCGCCGATGGTCATGCCTGCTGACCTTCCTGTCGACTTCTTGTTGAAGGACGACTGGGCGTACTTATCCAGACCACTTCGTTGAGCGGATTCAAGGAGACCCTTCCAGAGTACACGTACGATTGGACCCTGTGCACTTAATCAGTCATGTTATCATCAACGTTGTCATTGCTAGACTTACAAGAGTCGGCAAGCATGCAGACACGATACCACTGCTGATTTCAATGATGTTCCAGGCCAGGCCTTGAGCCAATGAGTCTATCATTGTTGAGTTAGCACGAAATAGTCAGAGAGTTCATCCGCGTCAAGAGACTTACAAGGAACATCGTTTTTCGTGTATAGCAAGAAAATTCTGAAGCGGTAGACACTACAGAACACGACATAGCTTCCCAGCAGGAAAGTAAAGAGGACCAGGATCCGTTGAGCTCGATTCATCTGGAGCTTCAACACGTGGGGTATCGGAAGATAGAGAATCGCAACGTCGACAATGATGCTCGGCACAGCGATGGCAAGTTGCGTCAAGAAGAGGTTGATGCAAGTACCGGGCTTCCACGGTTCCCATAGCGTGTTCAGGGGAAGACACTGTATTGAGGCGGCAACGACGCAAGCAAGCGTCCAGAGCGATGTCAAACTGCCACATATCCATGCTCCCTTGCGGACTTCTCGCATTGGAAAGATGCGTAGGTACAGCAACAGCAGCGCTATTTTGTATACGTTGACTCCGTTGACGTACAGAATCTCGGCACCGATCATGGTCTACAGAAACAATGTTAGCTTAGTCCTCATGGGCTGGATAGTAAAGCGAAACTGCACAGCGCTAGAGAACGCTGATGCGTACCTTGTCGAGAAACTGCAGCTGTTCTAGTGTGAGGCGACCTGAATGCAGTCCAATACCAGCATCAACCACTTGGCGAGAATGTTAGCATGTCTTCGTACTCTCATCTTCCAATGCCACTTACGGATGAGATTCATGATCATGTTTCCAATCAATATCACTAGAGCGAACAACATCGTGTAGTCATCTTTGAGGTATCTCGCACCCTGCAGGTGACGAGCCATGAACCTTAACCCAACCACAAACGCAGCAAAGACAGTGAAGGCGATCGTAATCGCTCGTACATATGGACGGAGATCCTCGGACAGGTTTTGATCTTCAGCGAAGTCGGCCAGCTTCTTCAGATAGTCCCTCTGGGGTTGATCGATAGTCGGATCGTTGTACGGGTATGTCACCATAGTGGCTGCCATGGCGGGTGGCTTGATGGCCACGCGGGCTCTCGTTGAACAGCGGTCTATAGAAAACGGGTCGTCGTCGATGGTAAGTGGAGGGGGGTTACCGAGTAAACGGACGCAAGGGGGGTCGACGACACCGGCCACACCACGTGGGGATGGGGAATCATTTTATTCTGAACATTTTCTGGGGGAATGCCAGATGCCTTCGTTGCCGCGGGCTTTGCTTACACAAAATCTAGCAGGAGAGAAAAAGCAAAAACACGTGCGACAACCCCGTCGTCGTCTATCACGGCCGCAGGTTTCGGGCTCTTGGACCCGTTCGTTTTTCCCGAACCACTGTTGCATTCCCAAACTGTCAATCACTTCTGTTTTGACATGTCAATCTGCCCCCATTGCGACTGCTACCTCGGGTAGGGGCCCAGAGAGAGACAATAGGTGGAACTGCAACCGAAAGAAGCAACGAAAAGGGGAGCGAGCACGCGGCGAAGTCCCGAGGAGTTGTCGGGTTTGTCAATCTTTGTCAGTTATGAGGAGGAACCCCATGAGGGTTGTCCAGACATCTGTGGACTCTGGACAGGGTGTGATGTCGTAAGGAGGCTAGGAGTATAAATTGTTCCAGTCCTAGTCTAGTCTTTCTTCTTTCTCCGTCTTGGGCCTACACAAGCCGGCCCGCAGCACGCTACAGACACTAGGAAACATCGTTACCAACGTCCGATAGACTCGGATTAGGAAGAATGCTTCCGGCGCACGGCTCTCGTTCTGGGGTCTCGCATCCAAACTCGAAAAACCGTTGGAACTGATCCTACGCTAGTCGACTAGTTCGGGGGAGATCCCCTCTTCTAGACCCGCCTCTAGCAACTAGGGCCCGCATGCCATGCCCCTTGACGTCCGGGCGCATCCATGCATGCACAGGGTTGACATCGACAGATCAACGCCAAAACCACGGCAATTGTGGCCTCTGTACAGCTCCCGGAAGAGAGCTGTTGAAGACGCGGATGGGGGCCACATTGAGTCAACAACCCTGTAAACTGTACTCAACTTCTCGCGGTGGGCCACGATTCCTTCCTGTGCGTCATTATCGTCAAATACTAAGTGGAATATTGACATGAGGGATTGCTTTTTCTTTGGGTATGAGGGGCAAGTTGAAAACGACAAGAGATATAATACGAAGCTTGCCCCAAGCCCCCGAGTCCTCGACTGCCGAGGTAACATGGAGAAGATGGTTGCAAAAGGCCTCGGAGACTAAAGCAAACTACTTAGCGAGATGCCTGAACCTCAAAAGGAAAAGAAATGCTGAACAATCCAGAACGACGTCGCAGCACAAGCTACTCCGTACACAAAAGAAGATCCTGCCACATGTATTCTTCAAGCTGCAAGCCTGTAAGGTACCGAGCCCCTCTCGTCCTTTTGTCTCCGCTCGATCGAACCGGGTGTTCACTTTGCGCCATAACCTGTTCCGTCATGACCCCCTCAAGTTGCCCCCCCTTCGACCCCTTTTCACAACTGGAGCAACCCACCGCCAACGTTGGGCCCTTTGTGGATAACTTCGGAGGACCGCGTAAACCTCTCTGGCGGACCTCAAGGACTCAAGACCTCTTGGCAATATCCGAGAGACTACCCGGCGCTCATCCCGCTGTCACGCGTCGTTCATCGCTTTTGGCCGCTGTCATTTCGGCGATATTGCTTGCTGAGGATGTATATTCATGCCTTGATATCTATAACAGATACGAAGTAGTACTTTAGAAAGGCCACCTGCCTCAGTTCATCACTTGCCTCTTGTTGTTGCTACCAGGCAGGCTACACATTCCTTTTTAGAGTCCCCCTCGATCCAAGTCTGCACGCATCCCTCGCCCATCTCTGCCCTTATTCTCATCTCGTCAATCTCTGACAGATCCAAGATCGCATCACTCGTGGTTCTCCAGTTGTCACGTCACATTCTCATTACACAATGAAGCCCTCAATTCTTATTGTCCCCGGCGCTTGGCAGCTGCCCTCCGCTTTCCAGCCTTTCGCTACCGAGCTGGCCGGCTCCGACTTCAACGCCTCCATCGTAGCTCTCCCCACCGTCGGCGGTACCACCACGCCCCTGGCATCCCTCTCCGACGATGTTGCCGCCGTGCGCACCGAGCTGGACAAGCTTGTTTCCGATGGCAAGGAGGTCGTCATCTACTCCCACTCCTACGGTGGTGTCGTGGCCAGCAACGCTGTTGAGGGCTACGACGTTGCCACTCGCTCCGCTGCTGGTGCTTCTGGTGGTGTTGTGAGCATCGTCTACGCCAGTGCTTTCATGCTCCCCAAGGGTTCCAGCTTGCTCGACCTTCTCGGCGGCGAGCCTCTTCCTTGGATGATTGTCGAGGTATGTAACCCAATACCCTAGTTCCCGTCGGTTACGAAACGGTAGTCATACTAACATGCATTATAGGGGGACCGTGTTGTTGGCAACGCCACTTTGCTCCCCGAGGTCGGCTTCAACGACCTTCCTGCCTCTGAGCAGGAGAAGTGGGCGTCCGAGATGACCTGGACCGCTCTCGGTGCCTTCACTAACGCCTCCGGCTACGAGCCCTGGAGCAACGGCATCGACTGCGCCTACCTCTATGCCACTCTTGACAACGCACTGCCTCTCAGCTACCAGCAGGGCATGTCCGCCGTCCTGCCTGCCGGCTCCAAGACGGAGACCGAGCCTAGCGGTCACTGTGCTCACCTTAGCAGGCCGGCAAATGTGACTTCTATCCTCAGCAGATGGTACCCGGGCAACTAATTGCCGCGGCGCGTCGACATGTGAAACGGAGAGTTTTGGGGTTTCGTGATAGCGGCGTAGCGGCGTGCGGAAAGCGCAGATCTAAATGAGCCAAGTAATTCGAATAATACCTCCAAAGAATTGATGTAACGCTGTCAAATCCCTTCAGTGGGCCTGTTTTATTTGTGACGCGACTTCGACAGCGGCCACAGTGGTGTCTGCCCCGTGGTTGGATGGAGCAACAGTGTCAAAGAGACTTGGCGAACTGGCGAGTCACTAACCTAGCTGGCCACGTTGAGGCAAGGAAATGCCAGCTTTTCTATCATCTGAAGACATTCTTGATCGTAACGGCCCGAAAGTCCTATCGTGCCACCATGAACCGTTCATGTCCCCAGATCGTTCGCGAATGAACCGTGATCCTCTCTCTGTTGGTGGCCATCTCCACATGACGCCTGTCAAGCTGTCAGGGGATAGATATCGGGAATAATGGCTTTCGTCTGGTTTTGGGTGGGAGCCGGGAGAATCAACAAGCCATGCCCATGCTAGGGTGGTGCTGAGAGCAGATTTTCTCGCCTACCAAACACCGAACCCCACAAGGATCCTTGAAGGTTCGACAGTTGACCTGAAAGGCGGAACCTCTTCGATGAGCGATCGGGTAGCGTGCTGTAAGTGAAGACGCTCCCTAGCGGTCAGCATCTCCAAAGAATACGAGTTTCTCTATCCAGATAGTTGTCACGGGCGTGGAAACGAGTTGCTGGCTAATTCAAACTGCTGTAGCGGAACAAATGCGTCTACTGGCACTATTGTATGTTAGTTTGTGCCGGGAGTTCCCTGTCTCTTCGAAAACTACTGGACTTGAAAACAGTAGACACATCCGTATAAATGGAACCGTTTCGTCTTCCGAATACCAAAGAAGAGCAGTCCCTTTGCCATGAAGCTGCCAAGCGAAAGGTGTGTTACACATAGGCGGGATACGCTTTTCTCCACGCCTCAAGGACTACGTTCCTACCTTGTGTTTTTTTACGTAGCAACCCACTCGCTAACAACATCAGGAAAGGCAATTTCTAGCACTACTGTATTTATTTTTCTATATGAGAGCCTCAAATTTCTCTGCGTTAGCCTAAAAGTTGCCAAGCAGCAATTTACTCTTTAGGCTTGGCTGTCATTGATATCTTGGGAGAAGATCTGATGTTTCCATATGGATGGTATCTCGGGAAAGGGACCGCGACAGGGGGGATTAAACGAGGTGATATGTAATCATGAATCTGAGGCCGTGGTAACTGATAAGCTAGGTATGTACCGATTGGAGAACACATACTATCTCGATCGACTTTTAGAGCAGCCAATCTAGGATGGACAGATAATACCTTCACTGACCTGGCGGCATCAGAAAGAGACTCACTTAGTTGGTGATATAATTACCCCATGGAGACATCGTGATGTAGTTCTGTGGAATCATCAGATCTATCGCATAAGTTAGAGCGGGCCTACTAGATTTAGTTGGAACTGGGAAGCATCAAAACTGTAAAGCTGGCATGTTTGTATTGAACACATGATCAGTATAAGACTTGGTCACCTTGAGTCTCCGCCATCAGTGCCTTCAATGTTCTTTTTCACGGGATATCATTGCCAAGAGCAAAAGCCACCCTGAACCTCGCTGCTATTGTACAAATGCGATGTTCGCATATCGCAACTTCAAGCCTACCATGTCCACCCCAACACTGTTCATTGCAACCAGAAAGCTTCTTACATCATCCTGAAGAAATTGAGTCGACTCAACCCGACTGGTTTTGATGCATACCGAGCACGCCTGAACACCGTCGACGAGTTTTACTTCGGTTTAATATTGCTCAACACGCTCCCGTAGACTGAACAGACAAACCCTCGATGGGGCCATTGGTGACGCTGACTTTACAGTCCCTACCCATGGCGAACTGCACATACGGTCCCTGGGGAATCGAAACACCTCCAGTGTCGCCAGCGCCGACACATCCGCCAGCTTGTCCTCCTCCAGAAGCGGTGAAGGCAAATCCGCAATTGCCTCTAGCTTGCGGATGAGCTTGGACCGTCGCAGCGCAAAGTGCAGCAAGAGCGAAGATGAAGCGAGCCATCTATTGTTCACTAAATTAGCTCTTGACCAGGTGTAGGCGTGACAAGGATGAACTCAAATTGAGGTTATTCGTTCAGAGGTTCAAGGCCTGGGGAGTGTGAAGTGTAAACAACGTTTTGCTTGGTGAAAGTGTAAGATAGTAAGGTTACGAGCCGATGGGATGAACTAATGGCAACCAATGGAGTTGACAACTTGTCTATTATATAGAGTTGACGGGTTCCTATTTCCGAACGCGGGATGGTCTCCAACTACCAGATTCCCGAAATAGCCATTTAGCTATGGCGAAGTCATGATCGCTGGCACAGATTGATTATCAGCCCCACTACCTTGGCGAGTTACAAATGGATTTCGCAGCGCACTCGTGAAGTGACATGACTAAGTCATAAACTTACATATATCAAGAGCATGACGATCTACATGACCGAGGGAGCTTGAACCAACCACAAAGAACGATTGCTCTCGCTAAAGTCGCATGACTCTCTTGTGAAACTGCTTCTTCAAGTGCAACAGTCCGTTGTTTTCTTACCGCTTCTACAGAGAATAGGTAATTTGCAGCGCAAATCCCTTTCTACGGCAACAAGTCTGCCAAGTATGGAAATGAGAGAAGCCAAGATTAGAAAGTCGCTACGAAGACGGGTATTGAGGAGAATGCAGTGTCATTCATACCATCGTCAACGAATCGATAATCGTACCCGGGAACGAATATGGTACAGCTAAGTTCAGAATAAATGAGTCTTGCCTTGATTTCTTTGGGTGGTGATGTTTCGACGACTACTAATGACACCCGCTGCATTGGTGGCTCATCTCGATGACGCCTGAGAAAACCCTGGGCTGGAAGAGATTCAGCAACAAGTCCGGCAGCTCAACTTTTACTTGTCATCTAGAGCTTAGGAACAAGCACCTTGCACCGACGGTAACTCTGGTGTGGCTATGTACCTCATCGATTCAGGAATCAGGGCCATAACCCATGAGCACATCAAGACATCAAGGTTGGACTCGGCCGCCGAAAGGGTCAAAGACCGCTGGGTGCTATAGATACAAGTCAGCTGCCGCAAAGTCTCAATTGGCCAAGTCCTTGGGTTCTTTCACTTGTAGCCGCTGATTGAGAAAGTCTCGATATGCTCACGGCGAATCACTGGGCCATAATCACTAGCTCGTACAGTCATCGGTCACTGTGATGGTTGGTGTCCTCTAATGCGGCTGCGCTGCTCAAGTTGCCGCCGTTGGAGTGGCTATGATCTTGAAAGGGAGTATTGATACAATTCCGGCTCGAATCGTCAACATTCTCTGGAGTATCCAATCAATCATGGCCGGTTGGCCCAATGGCAAGGCGTCTGACTACGATTCATCAGTTATCAGGAGATTCTGGGTTCGACCCCCAGGCTGGTCAATATTTTTGACCCTGATGCGGCATTTCCGTCTTTTTTTTTTTTTTTTGGCGCTTGTGGACGGGGGCGACAGGCCCGGCAAAATGGGTCCTTTTCGGGGCAGATTGTTGAGGTTCTTGCCGGGATTGGCTGGTAGTTTTTGGAGTAGTCCGTACATCGGCCCGGTGCGGAGGCGGGGGTTACGGGGGCACATTCATACGGTCGGTAGGGAACGTGGGGGTTCCGTTCGACTTGCAAGGGCGACCGAAAACGTCCCGGCCTACCTTGTCTTATACATTCGTGCAAATAGGCCCCGAGCCGAAAGAGTATCTGTCGGATGTAATCTGGCTCCTGTGTATGCTAATGAGTCGATGCTGGAGTTGCCATGGGTTGCCTAAGGTAGAATCCAACCAGATAAGCATCTCCTACATATGATGCCCGCTTACGCAATAATTTGACCTTTTCTAAATACCAATCAGATAGTGGGATGTTGCGATAATACCATTGGTTGATACGTGCAATTCGTTCCCAGATACGGCAAACCTTTCCGCGGCCGATGGTTTAGGCCCCTTGAAACTCTAAAAAACAAAGCCGGCAGTCAATTCGGAAGACGTACGTACTGCTTCTTCAACCACCCGAGACGGTAAAACTCACGGAGCACTCTGCGATGTCTGCATCACCTCAGCAGTTAAAGCTTGCCTCGTGTACCAATTACCCCTCCCTCCCACCGGCGCGGTCTTCGGATAGCTCTTGTTCACCGTAGGCTGTAGCCTATCCCGCCTATCTACGCCCCGAACCCCCGGTCAAAGTTCCAATCGCACTTCTTATCCCAAAGTTTAATAAAGACCGTTTTCTCCGACGAGCCTGACCGTACCGCGGCAAATTCTTCAACTGGTACCGATAGTCGGGTACGTTAAGACCAATGTGTCGCTTTCGTCGGAAAGTTCCATAATCTTGTCGGTCACTTTTTGTACGAGGTAAGGTATGGTGGCCTTGGAAGGAAGATACGAGAGGAGGAAGGTGGAAAGCTGCTGCGAGTCATGGAGCTATATTTGCTGTAATGGCAAGTTTCCACATGTCATCGGAGGGGTCGGAACTGTTCCGGCAGCGCTGCGAACGGTATTATAAAGAAGCTCAGAATGAAGCTCAACAATCACATTGAAGCCGGAGGGTGGTTGCTAGATCCCAAAAGCCGATACCAAGAGTAAATAGTCATCATCACAACAAGCCTCCCCAAGATGCCTCTCCGCGTCCTCCTTACCGGCGCAAACGGCTTCATAGCCCAACACATCCTCGCCCAGTTTCTCGCAGCAGGCCACTCCGTTCGCGCCGTCGTCCGCTCCCAGTCCTCCGTCGACCAGCTCCACGAGACCTTCGCCTCCTACCCCTCCACGCAGCTCGACTTCGCTCTGGTCCCCGACATCGCCGCCCCGGGTGCCTTTGATAACGTCCTCGTCTCCGACCATGCACCCTTTGACGTCGTCCTCCACACGGCCTCGCCCTTCAACTTCCGCAAGGGCAACTCCAACACCGACTTCCTCGACCCAGCCGTCAAGGGCACGACCGAGATCCTACAGGGCGTGGTGCGCAAGGCGCCGACCGTGAAGAGAGTCATCGTCACGAGCTCCATGGCCGCCGTGATCGACATCACCAAGCCCCCCATCTCCGACCCGCCCAAGATTTACAGCGAGAAGGACTGGCTCGGCGTCTCGAGGGAGGACGCAGAGGCGTCAACGCACCCCGCGATACCCTACGTCGCCAGCAAGAAATTCGCTGAAAAGGCAGCCTGGGCCTTCCTCTCCTCCGAACCTAAACCCGCCTTCGACCTCGTCACAATCTGCCCGCCCATCGTCTACGGACCCCTCTACGACGTCTCGGCGACGGCATCCCCGCAGAACCTGAACGAGAGCAACCACATGCTCTACCAGAACCTCTGCGGGCCGTCACTCACCAAGGAATCGCCGGTCCCGCCTGAGATGCTGCACCTGTACGTCGACGTGCGGGACGTCGCGCGCGCGCACCTGCTGGCAGCGACGACGCCCGAAGCGGGCGGGAAGAGGTTCCTGGTGAGTCCCGGGGGCGTGTCGAACCAGCGACTGGCGAATATTTTGAGGGAGAAGCTGCCGCAGTGGGAAGGGCGGATACCAAAGGGGGACCCGGCCAAGACGGCGCTGGCGGAGGGCATGTTTGGGGTTGATGCGTCGTTGGCGGAGAAGGTTCTTGGGATGGAGTATAGGAAGTTGGAGGATACCATTGGGGATACTGCGGTGCAATTCGTCGAGCTTGAGAATCGCGCAAAGACTGCTTGAGCGGTGTGAAAATATTGGGTCCATTTGTATGAACTACGTCTTAGCGAGACTAGACTATTGGTACGAGTCTCTGGCTACAGTAACACGCTTAAAGTAGCATGTAATAAGTCTTCTGGAACGCTTGTTTGCCATCTTGTCGGGTTGATCAACTCTTGCCAAATTGCAGACTTTGCGTGTAACAGTATGAATGAAGGCCGTGTTTGCCCATCTCGCCCCCATGGCCGCTGTCCTTCATGCCGGAGAAGTAACCTCCGTGGTGCGGTATCTCGGGGAGGTTGATAGCGACTGTTCCCGCCTCTACCCTCCGGGCGAGGCTCTCGGCACGGCCTAGATCGCGGCAGTAGACAGACGACCCGAGACCAGCGTTGGCCAGGTTGACTCGCTGGAACAACTCGTCTTCCTCTGTCCAAGATAAGATGGGTACTATCGGGCCTGGTGGCATAGTCAGCATGGTTAGCTTGTGCGTGAGAGCAGAGAGAGGCGGTATCTAGCTCAAGATACTCGGGAAAAGATTAGCCGGCTCACCAAATTGTTCTTCCTTGACCAAGATAGAGTCATCAGGAGGCTTTGTGACAATGGTCGGGGGTATCCAGAAGCCTTTGGAGTCTTCGGGATGGTCCGCAGCAATCATATTGAAGCCATTCTTCTTGTAGTGGTCATAAATATCCTTGACAACGTTATACTGCATCTTGTTCGAGACGGGGCCGAACAAACTGGGTGCGTGGGCATCCTTGGTGATGACATATTTCTCGGCAACTGCGCTCTTGAAGGCATCCAGGAATTTTTCATACACCGAATCGTGGACGTAAACTCGCTTCGTTGCGACGCACATCTGCCCGGCGTTGAAGAAGCATCCTTGCGCGACCTGTCCTGCCACCTTTGCAATGTCAATGTCGTCAGTCACGATTGCCGCGTCGTTGCCCGCTAGCTCCAAGGTTAAGCGCTTGAGCGTCTTTGCGCAGCTCGCCATGACGCTCTTTCCTGTGGCAATTGTCCCGGTGAAGCTGATCTTGGCGATGCCTGGATGCAAGGTCATTGCGATACCCAAGTCGACGCCGCCGTTGACTACCTGTACGACACCGGGAGGAAAGACGTCGATGAGCAGCTCGATGGATTTCATGACAGAATACGGAGTGAAGGGCGAGGGTTTGACGATGATGCAGTTGCCGGTGATGAGCGAGGATGCCACTTTGATGTTTGACAAGATGAGAGGGAAGTTCCAAGGACAGATAGCCCCCACGATGCCCAGTGGTTGGTGAGTGGCGACGATCTTGATGTTGTCGTCCTCGAAAGTGACTTCATCTTCGAGGTGAACATTTGCTGTT